GTGTCCATTTCTGTTATTTATTGGGGTCAGGGAAGAAGACAAGGAACATTCCTGACCGACGGCCATTAATAACACAGGGCTACGAGTCTGACTTCTGCAGCAATAACAAGGTAAACCATACACAGATGGACAAATAGATTATGGCTATATCTGTAAATAGCTGGGTCTTTTCTGTGCTCTGTCGCAGAACATGTGATTTAACAGGCTGCTGGAAACATTGCGAGAGTGAAATTTCCACTGCTTCTTCTACGTTCTTCAACATTAGAAGAAAGCCTGTCATGGTTAGGTTCGCAGAGGATGTGGGGGTTGAAGTGACAACATGAAAGAACCCTTTATGCACGGTGACTAAATGGTCCTGTGGCCAGAACCAGAATAAAATCAGGTCCGTTGTTCAGTCACTTGTTTATAGTGAGGGAGTGGAGAGGGGATCTGTTTGAAGCCACCACGTAATATTAATAATGCCACAATTGCACAACTGTGACATATTTTACAGGCTGTTTATGCAAGAAACTGTTTACTTTTGTTGAAAACAGAACAGGTTTACATTTTTACGCTCAATAATGTAGAGTTGTAGATGTCGTAGAGGCTGAATGAGGGAGCTGAAAAAATCATTAGCTCATAAGGTTTGTGTGACAAAATCAAATGCTCACATGCTAGATTTATCTTGTAGTTTAAAAAGGCAGTGTTTGGGCACATTATGTATTTAACAATTTGAAAAATTAGCTTTGGAAAACAAAGGTAAAGTATTTCGGGAATACTTTGCAGCCTATCACCCAGAGACTAACTTGAGCAGAGTGGAGAACAAATTTCCAACGCTACCAGACTGACCAACTCACATTGTAACATTTTGCCATTTATGAAAGGAACAAGAAAAACTGTTTGATTTTCAATGCCCTGCACCCATATCATTTTACATAATTTTGCAATGAGACTGTTATCCATTGGTGAAAACAGGAGCAACACAGTGGACCCTCCCACTGAGTCAAGAATCCAAATCATATGGAATCTTGAGTCTCCCAAGTTCCCTTAAAAATGGATAAACCTAGAGTATTAAAACAGGTATGGACATCTAAAAAAAAATAAATGGCACACTATTCAGCAAATGCTAAATCACAGGCAAAACATTTTAAACTCTGTATTTATTGATTTTTTAATCTGTGCTTTGAATTCTCAGTTGCTACAGATCAACAAACAGGAATAAATTTATGGTTCATTGCACAACTCATTTGCAAAATCTAAAAATACAAATAAATTGTAACTAATTGAACTAATCTATAACTAATTACTGCTAGCCAACTGGAATATAGCACTTTTTTCTTTCAGGTCCATATTGGTCCAAAAAGAAACAACAGCTTTGTTCACTGAACTCTGTATAACTGACTTCAGTATGTGGCTGTGAGAAGTATAGATGACTGTCCAGGCCAGAGACCTTGAGGAATGTCCCCTATTGGTCATTGTCCAGAGAGTTTGTGCAATGTTTCCTGTGCCTGTATAAACAAAAGGGGTTTCTCCACCCATGCTGCAAGTCTTCAAGTGTTCAGCTGATATGGGCTGTTAACTCCAACTCAAAAACGTTTCACACTGAAGAACAAACCTGAAATGTCTCTTCAGATGAGCAAAGGCTTGCATCATAGTCCTCCTCATTTTGCTATCTGAGCATGGCACTAGAAAAAGGGCAACAGCAACCAAACTACACAGGGTTCATCCCATGAGTAGCTGTTGACACATGATTTCGTGGCAATGGCTTGGGTACAAAGTTGACCCTCAGACCTCAGGGTGACACTACAGGAAAGCCAATGAGGTCATTAAAATATTTCAGATTTGTCCTTCATGGACCAGAGAAAATTTCATGGAATTACTGTCTTTCACAATTTCAACAACAGACAATGGAGCCACTGAGTACACTGAAGTTATGAGGTCACGGTAGGACTAGTAAAGTCAAAGTAACCTCAAATGATTGGAATTTATCTTCTAGGAACCACGCATGGCCTTGCCAAATTTTAAAGCAACTGCATTTAAGTCTGACCAAAATATCTTAATTCAAAGAACACTCCATGTCGGCAAACAGAGAGCATTGTAGGAGTTTAGCCAGCAATGGGTCACCATGAAAAGCCATCTGTGGCAGCTAATGGCTTCCAATCTGCGCTCATGTTCTCAAAACAGACCGGGGTTGGCAAGGACAGCATTCCTATTGCCAAGTGGCCAATGAAGCCAAGACATTATCGATGCAAAAGTCATGTCCATGGCTCAAAGGAACTCTATTAGCATATGGACTCATGTGTATTATATTTAATTTTCATTAATAATTGATCATTGATTGAAAATGCTGCCATAACTGTTTAAAGTTTGCATCCCTAACGCCAGCCCTTAGCTTACCAGTAATAGTATGTCTAAAAGCCAAGGATGATAGTTACTATCTCATCAGATATGAAGCACCACCTGTCACGATGCAGTTTCTATTTAATAGCCCCTCTGCTGTACAATATACCACACTGAAGATGACATACTTAGAGTGTAATTTCAAATATAAAGACTAGCAGAGCCAGACTGTGAGTGCTATAGAACATATGGGGACTCCTGGAGCTATCCAGGGAACACAACAGCTTTCCCACTAGGATCTCAACTGGGCACAAGACTGGAGAAAGCTGTTTACTTCTTAAATGAGTTGGCAAGACACAGCAAAAAAGAAAATGATCTGGCCAATGCTTCTGGGCCAAGAGGTATAATCCATTTCAAATCAGTTTCTTTTTCACTCCTAGACATGTGCTCTCTCGCCAGTAGGACAGTATAATAACAGCCTTCTCATGACTTGACAGGCACCAATTGAAAAAAATAAAACGTCTAGACACTGGGCCTCATTCATGAAAGTGCATGTTTGTGCAGATTTAACTCATGCATAAGTACATATTAACAACGATCACAGGATTTATCAACCTTTTTTTAATTTATAAAATATTTGTATAGAAAAAAGAAAGTGTGTGTGTAGTCGAAACCACTTGAAAACAGATTTACAGTCATGAGAAAACAAGCACAAGTGAACCCATGAAATACAACATAAACGTTGGCAGGCTGTCACAGAATCAGCAACCGGGTAGTTTCTTGTTTTTTAGTATCTCCTCTTAAAATATATCACAGCATGGAAACTAAAAGACAATTGAGGCATGGATAGTGTTGCACTGGGTTGTACACATGAACAATGCTTTAAATCTGTTCAACTGGCCAATCCGGGTGTCAAGTGGTTGTGAATGTCAACTGACAGTTCCAAAAAGCTCAATCAAATGATCGACACAGAACCCCCAACACTGTCCCACCATCCAACATGCAGTTCAGAAAAAGCATAATTCCAGCAGAGCTGCTTCATAATAGATGGTGGTGCTGAAGGGGATGGTGAAAAGATTTTAAAGGATTTAACTGATTGTGAGAAATGTCAGATACTAGAAATAAGTTAATAAGCAGAAAAGAAGCAAACAAAGCAAACCTATTCACTAAAAACTGAGCTGAGTTGAGTGTGTCTGCATCTGGGTCCAGTCCTGATTTTCCCCTGACAAAAAAATTATTCACCCCAATCAGACTGGTTTTGCTGCTGGCCCTCAAAAATCCCAGCTTTATCTGAGTCCCACACAAAAAGCCTCATCTTCCCTTTAGAAACATTAAGTCGATAATATTTTTTCTATAAATTATTAATGGCCTGGTCTCTAAATTCAGGTTCTGTAGTTAATGAGTTGGTGGTCGTTTTGGAAAATATTGCTTTGCTTTTGACTTGAAGGATTATAGAGGAGCTTTGATGTCTTCAGTGCGACTGATAGTTGGCACTCTGTAGCTCCTGAAATTGTCCAGCCTTCAACTTTTGGAAAGTCCAGTTAAAGTTTAAAGGTCTACACAGTTGTATAGTGTTTGTGGTTGCAAAGTTACACTAACAAGACTCTTTTATCAGTTTAATGTTTGTGCTCAAATATGGGAAACAGAATATTAAACTACTTGGTAAATGTTACACTGCTAATGGAAACATCAAGAGCAGAAGACTGCTACTCGACAGAGACATCAAGACGCCAGACAAACTGTGCTTGTTGTCCTCTCTAAGTTTAACCAACCAGCATGTGTCTTCTCCGAGACCAATTACCATCAATACTTGCACAGCAGTTTTTTGTGGCCACTCAGAAGTACCTTCCCTGAAGTAGGTACTTTTGTATTCTCCTGAAAATGGCCTTTAAAGGGGTTCTACAGGGGCAGTCTGTGTGATCGGAACATGCACAAAGGTTCGGCCTGCCTTAAAACGGCCCACAAGCTCCTGCGGTGGAAAACAGCCTTATGTTTGCTGCATTATCAGACATAGATAAATGGGCAGAATTTTGAGAAACATAACCAAATACTTGCACTCAGCTGCTGCTCACTGCCCTTCAGGATAAAGAATATGATGGACTGCCAGAAAAGCTTAAAGACGCTCTCCCAAGATGCCACCCTTATGTAACTCCAAAGAGAAGGTCAATCATTCGCAGATGTAAAGTCTGTCCACAGACACACAACACATGACCAGTTTAAAAACATTTTACAGCGGGGAACATCATGTTCCCAAATTCCAAGATGGTGGTGCCTTCATATGAGAGCAATTAAGAAACACAAGTCAATTAACATTTATGAGAAGTGGGCTGAGGCTTCCTTGACAATGGGAAAGTGGGTCAGTATTTATATACCGATATCATTTTAATTCTTTTTTAATTTTCCCATTTTGTGTTCAACAGTTTTTAGGAAATAACAGAATAATCCATCATGAAATATTCCAATTTAGAATAATACATTTGAAAATGAGAAGAAGGGATAATGCCAAACAAAACCGGAGAAGCTGCAGCAGTACAGGGTTTCAAAGCTGTTATCAACCATTGAGAAGAACACGGTTTGTGCCTGAAGCATTTTGGCTAGCACCCAATGTTGATGTGCAGACTGGAGTCAAGGTATTAAAGTGAAGATGCCGATGTGCTGAAAAGAGTTTAGTGTAGACTTACGCTTTGTGCACCGCTGCGATCCCTGAGTTTTACTCCATCCATGACAGCACTGCCCTCCACAGACATTCACCCTGCAAAGACAAAACAAGCAGAGACAGATGAAACAACCAGACGCACAAAGATGCAGACATGTAACTCATGCCAGCAGAAAAAAGCACACGCTGATTGATGTCAGACTCTTTCTTGGACACTCTCCCTGTCTCCTTCTCCTATTGCTGTATATCAATAATAGAGGTGAGCTGTGTTTGAAGATCCCAACTAAACTGCCAAGCCAGCCCACAATTTATCTGAGCTCTGGCTTGTTGATGCTAAACAGGTTTTTGACCTTTGAAAAGATGTTATTAAGCTTGAGGTAAAAAAAAAAACAAAAAAAAAAAACAGGGCATGTCAAATTTGATTTGAGGTTTTTAACACCTCCAGTGGTGTCCATGGGGTTCAAGAGGTTCGACACAAATCACATCATTGACTAAACGCTGCACCACTGTTATCTGATTTTTGGCACTAATCTGTCAGGCTCTACAAATTCTCACCGGATGTTTTCCAGACTTGAACGTCATCCCAAACACAGAACTCATGAGATGTGGTTTGTGATAGTAAATATGACTGAGATAGAGTTGTGGTAGTTTTTTTTTAGCCTTGAAAAGCCAACCTAAATCTTAAAACTTTCGGTTTGGAAAAGATCCTGATTGAGTCAGACTGTAAGAAGCTGGACCAGCCTGAGAAATCCTAACTCACGTCATCATCAAAGTGAAGGGCTGAAATAATTAAATGAGTCACCAGCTCTTGAAGCTCTTGATGAGTTAAAGATGCAACATAAAGGAGGATTAAGCCACATTATAGGTCATTTTTAAGCCTGGTGTCAACACACAGACAGACAGCTCTGACACCTATGGATGAGTGGTTGTTGTTGCACTAATTCTGTAGTCTGTAGTAGTCTGCACCAAGACTCTGTTGCATACACACGCATTATGTCATATCTTATGTCATAGCACGTGCACTGTTGCCCTAATAGGTGTCATGTCAACTGTCATCTGACACAATCTTTGCATGCACAGGTCCTCACATACTCGCGGATGCAGGCAGTAACACCGGCTTTAGGTGGTGACACCAAGGTAGTAACACCAAGCGAGGTGGTAGCCAAGAGTTGACTAGAGCACCCAGATGAAAGTTCATGGTTTGTCCCTTTTCAGACAACTAACAGAAGATATGCACTACAACAGCAACCCATGTCAAGACAGACCCAGTCGTCTCGCTATAATGATTCAGCCTTTTTTCAAAGTGGCTCAGGTCTTTATACCTGCCCATTTCTCCTTAATCCAATGTTGACTGCAACAACTGCATGCTGACTTAATATTGTTATTATGACTTACTGTTATTATTCCTTTTAATATGCAAACATGAGGCATTCTTTACATTTAGTTACATGACACAATGTACTCGATTTCAGACCATCAAATGCTGGCTGCTTTCCCTCTATCTTCTGTATCTTTTCTTCCACTTAAACAAAATTATGAACACATGTCATAACATCATGACATCAGGAACAGGCTTGTGAAGCAGCTGAAATGCTCTGACCCATTCACACACACTGCCAGTGCTGGTTTGACCTGCGCCATGGTGTCAGTCTCAGTGCGGTGATGTGAGTGAACACTGCAGTGTTTGCCACAGTTTGGAGATTTATTTGCCGTGGTGGAGCCCAGTGAATGGGGGAGGGTTGTTTATGTGCTGGTGAGAAGCTCTAACACTTGAAAGTTGGCTATAAAACAGTACTGCATATATGTTGAATACTACTTGCCTGTAATTTATCCTGATTTAAAATAGCTGTCCTGATGCTACTACAAGTCAGCACCCAGTTAGATGTGACACAAGAAAAAGATCCAGTTCACAAAAAAGTGTCGGTACACAATCTGCACAAAGAAAAAAAAATAGCAGCACCTGCTGCATGATGCAACAAAACATAGTTATAGACCCATTTCTGTTGCAGATTTACATGAAATCAGGTTCTACACACACACTCCACCTCCTGATCCTCGCAGCATTGTGTAGCCTCGTAATGATTCAGATAAGAGTCATTTGCTTTCTGTGGGGGTGACAGAAATTCGCAGCTGTATTTTATTCACAAATCTCACATCAAAACGTTCTGCCAGGCCACAAACTGAGCAGCTGAGGACGGGCTGCTGGACCACACACAGCCTGGTGGCCTTGGGTCATCCTACCGCTTGTTCTCCCTCTTTCACTCTAACTGAAGACTCCTGGCCCAAATAAAACCTACCTACCATAATGGTGGTTTCGAACATAAAACACACACACAGAGTGAAATCAGCTGCTTTAGCCACTTGTCTGCAAATTCCATATGGAGGCAGGCGCTGGTGGACTGCTTGTATTAGCTCAGAACACACAAGCTGAAAATGTATCTCCCCCTTGCCTTCAAACACTCCTAATGGTTTCCTGGCTGCTTCCATCCTTGTCCCTTTCCTTCCATGCCGTCTTCCTGCCCTGCTTTCCTTTTCATTCTGTCTGTTTCTGACCGAACAGAGAGACATCCTGGGTATTACAAAGTAGGAGTAAAGACGAGTGTATAGCTTGGTGTCCATGCAACATCATCATGAAGCATGTAAATTAAACACAAGAGGCAAAAAAACAAACCAGAATAACTGAACTCATATGGACTAAGAAATCATACAGTCACTAATGGATTACCGTTTCATCACCAAAGGTCACATTTAGTTCACAGTCGTCTTGCATGACAATACGTAGCCCTGATATTTATCAAGTCAGTCTGGCATCACGATCAGGGCGCAAAGAGTCCTGGCAGAAACATTGCATCAGGCTCAGCTTTTGCTGTAATGCAATGTAATGTGATAGTCACGTGACAAGATGATAAAATGTGTCCAAGTGTATATTAGGTCCAGTTTTATTGTTTTTTGTTTGTTTGTTTGTTTGTTTTTATTTATTCATATTCTTTCACTTGACCAAATTACCCAACATCTCATTTTATCTTTTCATCAGTAAGCAGAAGACACACAGATGTAGCCTGCACTGAGACCTGGTGACACAAGTAGCCCAACTGCTGTTTCAGATTGTCCCCAACTTCAGAACACAGCAGCTCAGCTTCTCACTGGTTTTAGCAGACAGCACATCTAACTGTGGCTTTCCTCTCCTGCTTTTGTTAAAACACTGATTGGCACTGTGTTCGGTCCCCACGAACAATCAAACATCCCTTTCAGCGAAGACTGCAGCTACTTGCAACTACACATATTGCTGGTTGTCAATTTATATCAAATGTTAAAAAGAGTTATATTTGTCACTCCAATGGAAACAGTATAATATTTAGGTCATTGTCTACACTGTAGACTGTTAATTATACTTTGTCTCTTGTTAACTGCAACATCACTTTGACATTTAAAGAATAGGCTGCAACAGACATACTAGGCAGCCTGTCTGCTGTACACAGAGAAGGAACACAGTTACAGTCGTCTGCTGTAGACAAGATCATCATGAATGTATAAAAATGCTGCTGTTCACGCTAAATTAGCCACAGCAGCAAACCATTAAAAGGCCATCAGTCACGGTATGCAATCATTAGGATCTTTAAACAAAGAACACCCACAGTTTTATTCACACAAGAAATGACCAAAATATGAGTGGCATTTCAATGGAGTCTTCTAAAAGTGTTCAAATAAATGAAATATGGTTTAGCAGCCATATTCCCTGGTGTAAGATTTACAGTCGTAAACAAACGTTTACTTACACTTGTCAAGACCATGTGTACCATGGCAGTCTGACGCGCCCAATGGCTCCTACAACTCTGATTGAATCACTGAACCACATGTCAAGAAAACAATCTTGCATTTTGATTCTTTGATAGATTTATTATAGCTCTTCTGGAAAAATTACGAAATCTGTAGGGTCAAAAATATACATAAAATAACTTGAATTATCACTTTTGGTGATGTAGAAAACTGTGTTTTTTCAAATTTCGTGCCATTGCCTCTTAAATTCTTGTAATAGCGATCGACTACAGCTGGTGACTCCTCTGTGCCAGTTACGATCCACTCATTAGACTCAGCCACAAACACTACAGTTGGAAAGTCTGAGGAGCTCAGCAAAGGTCTGAAAAAGTAAATCATTGACTTGAACAAGTCAGGAGAGTCACTAGGAGCCATTTTAAAGCAGCTACAGACCCCAGAAACATTTGTACAAAAAATAGTTTGTGAGTATAAAGTGGATGGTACAGCTGTGTCACTGCCACAATCAGGAAGAAAACACAAACTATCATCTGCTGCCGAGAGACAATTGGATGGTCAAGAGTCAACCAGGAACCACTAAAAATGGGTCTGCAAAAAATAAGAAGCTGCTGGAACACGGTGGTCCAAGAATATCTTAAATCGACATGAGCTGAGAGTCCGCCATACAAGTAGGGCTGTAAAAAATATCGATACCTCGACACTAAATCTTTACTAAAGCTGGTATCGAGCAGCGATATTCAGTTCCCATTGTATTAATACTTTTCCGTCTCTCGTGGCTTCCTTCAATTGACTCCGATACGTGTGTTTCCTTCAGAGCCCAGGGTGCTGCTGTGTACAGCAGCCTGACGGGAATCAGTAGAAGAAGAAGCCGCAGCTTGGAAGGAAACAGCACCGTCCGACCAGTAGGGCTGGTCCGGATAAAGCTCTGACGGGGTGGAAGTGGGCGGGACGCACAGGCAGTATTTGGCTGCTAATGCCAGTTTTGGACAGCAGACACAGTTCTGTTTCCACCATCAGCAGCGGAGGCGGTGAATATTAGGATGTCAAAATTACTGTCCGAATACCACGACAACAACCGAATATTCAAATATCCGGGTCCAGTCCTACCGACCAGATCGGAAAAACTTTGCTGACTAAAATGGCAACAGCTACTTCACTGCCTGTTTTAGTTGAAAATAAAAACGGTGAAAGTGCAGTCTGGAAATACTCTGGGTACACAACCAACGAGAGGTGACAAACTTTATCAAGCAGTGCTTTACGGCGATAGCCACCAAGTCAAGTAACACGACATCTGGAAGACAAACACCCCAAACTCTAAGACAAAATGAAACAGGTTTGTAAATAATATAAATAGTGTACTACTAAACATACATCCAGTTGCACCAACAAACTAGTGTTTATTTAGTTACAAAAAAAAATTAGCATTAAGCTAAAGCTAATGGCTTGCTGCTGTTGCACAACACTACATACAATAAGGAAGCCTTTTCTCTTGAAGCGACACCTTAAGCCTCGACTGAAGTTAGTTGCTGATCTACAATGATTTAAAAATATATATATATACAGTTTTAAGAAAAGGCCCTTCTGGAGAAAAGTTCTGTGGTCAGATGAAGCAGTTTGGAGGACAAGATGTGGAGAAGGTGAGGCCCTTAAACCCCAAGAACACCAAACCTACAGACAAGCATGGTGGTAGCTGTATTACTCTCTGCAGATGTTCCAGTGGAACTGGTGCTTTACACAAAGTAAATGAGAAAATGAAAGAGGAGGATTACCTCCACATTCTTCAGGAAAATCTAAACTCAGCAGCCAGACGGTTGGGTCTTGGGTGTTTCAACAAGACAATGACTCCAAATACACCAAAGTGGTAGAAATGGCTAAAACAGGCTAGAATTAAGGTTTTCTACCCAAAGTCCTGACTTAAACCCCATCAAGAACCTGTGAACTGTGATGAAGAAACAAATCTGTCAGAAACAAACAAATTTAGTTCAACTGTGCCGAGTACATTAAGAAGAGTCGTCAAGACACAACAAGAAGCTTGTGGATGGTAATCAAAAGTACCTAGTTGAGGTAAAGATGGCCAACGGACATTTACCCAAATAGGAGCACTGCTGCATGTATATTTTGACACAGCAGGTTTTGTCATTGATGAATGATGCCGAAATGCTAAGTAACATAAAAATAGTTAAGCGAACGATGCCATCCAAATATAGCCTGTGTTTTTTAAAAAAACAAAAGAACATTTACTGTGTTCTACGTTCAATGCAGGCAGCATCTTACAGAAAAACCGCATCCCGAAGGACAATTCCAGTTTATTTCAACTTGGTGTTTTAACCATTCATCTGCAGTCACACTAACTCAGCACTCTGCAGTCTACAGTTGACAGGTAACAAGTGGTCCCACAAACTAGCCTGAGAACAGTGCTTTTTGGTGAAATAAGTGTAAGCTCCCTGCAGGTTTTATTTGAGTAATTTTAAACATTTGTTTTCAGTCTTTCAATGAAAGTAGACACAGAAATGACCTGCCTGGAATGGATTATCTGTTAACTACATTAGAGATCTCCATTCACAGAAAGTACTTGTTGGCTGACCAAATCACTGACATCTTCTTTACATTTGCGTACAGGTGGATTTTAAAGGCCCTACAAAGATAATTTCACTTCTTTAGGATAATTAGACCTCTGCTCTGAACCAAGGAGAATGATAGGGTGCAGCTCCTTTGCCATAACAGCTGCGGGAAACTATTTTCACACAAGACGCATTGACATGTCGCAGTAGTAAAACACAGGTGTAAATAATAAACAAATGACAGCTGTATTCCATTTAGCTGTTTCAGATTTAGGCTCCTAGCGTAAAGGCTGATTCACTGTTGTGGCTTAACAGGATACATGAGTAGAACAGGATATTTGTGACACAGCAACAAAAGCACAAGCGTAATTAATAACATTAATGATGTCTGGGTTCCATTAAGTATCCGGTTAATTCATGTCAGCCAGTTAGCACACACAATACCAAAAGCCTCATCTAATTGGAATGCAGCCCCCATTCATGTTATCATTTACATCAGTGTTTTTGTTGGAAGGACCCGGCAAAGAAGTCCTGCTAACCTCCGCTTTTAGAGTCTACAACAGTTGAGTTGGTAACTGTATATACTTGCTGTTTCCTGGGCCAACATGATAAGCACAAACCAGATTGCTTAAGTTTCATCCAAATTAAACCGTGTCTCATGCTGAACTTCAGCCTTTTATGGTTCTGTGAGATTCAAAAAGCAAAAACGCTTTCAGGTCATCTTAGCTCTTGAAAAATACTGTGGACAGTATTCATTTTTTTTATGTACTACTTATGTATTTATTGGTCCAGGGAGTTTTTCAGAGCACGCGGCTGCCACTGACATGTAAAGACACTCTCTCTAGAGTATTTGGTTTGTCCATTCTGGGCTACTGTAGGAACATGGTGGTGCAACATGGTGGGCTCCATATATAGAGTTCAGTTTCTGTTCCGTGCCTTTTGTAATTGACATTTTCTTTTTTTTTGTCTCATGTTGTTTTCATCCATTTTCATCCAAGTCCCATTTTCAGGGACTAATGTAAGTACATTGAGAGAATAAAAAGGGAATAAGAAAATAAAATCTTGACAGACATGTGACTGCCATATGATTTTTTAAACACTCTTGTACATGTGTTGTTGTTTTTTTTTTATATATAATAGAAAGACTATGAACATGAACATAGTGTGAGACTTGAAGGTAAATAAACTTAAACAGTAAATTCTTGATTTAAAATAAGAAAAACACATTCAACCTTAAATGAAAGAAAGGCAAATGGGTGAAATGTGTCTGAACCACATCTTGTAAACCCTCCAGCATTTGTACATTTTCATTTGATTTTATGCTCAATTTTTCTTTCTTTTTTCTCCCCAGTGCAATGGTACGGTGGCATTAATAAAAAAAAAATATTTCAAAAAGCCTCTTCTTGGCTTGGTTAAAACTGGGTGGAGCTATGATGCAATTATGTGAGGTCACCGTACTCAGAGAACCAGTAAGAACCCTAATGGCCTGTTCCAACTGCACATGTCACAACTAAAAGACAAATATCCTCATCTTAACCATGTCACCATTCTAAAGTTTCCTCAAAGCTGCAGGCATCACAAGAAACACACTTTGATGACTTCACTTTTCATAGCCTTTGGCTGTAAAACAAAAAAAAAAGACGGACGTAGCCTCCAGTTCTGAAAAGTGAAGCCAATGCATACGTGCCTTAAACCTGCATTTTTTTAACAGCCAGTAGGGGGCGACTCCAATTGCAAAAAGAAGTTTGACTCTATAGAAGTCTCAGAGACAATGACTACATCTCTCCCTTGATTTGTTACTTCAGGAAACCTTTTCTTAATCAGTCCATGGTCTTAATCACCAGTTTCAAGTCTTTCTGAATACAGCATGTGTTTGTAACTTGTCTTTCCTATTTAAAGTAAAATAAGACAATAAGCATCACTGTGTCCTGAATTTACAGTTACCACCATCTTTTATATACAGTCTCGCTGTAGAACATGTTCTAGCAGTTGGGACCAAAGTTTCTGGCTTTGATTGGCTACTCACCATTTTATCGCCCTCAAGATGTCACTTCCAAAGAGGACAAATCCTAGATCTTAGATTTACACACATCCAACAGGATCAGTCTCACAGACTGCAATAATTGTATATATATGAAGGATGACGTGTGCAGTGAGAGCAGGTCTGGACAGGTGCAGCAGAGGACGGTCAGTCAACTGCAGCCTCCCACAAAGGAGAGGCCGAATGAGTGGAAACTGCTATGTGGGTATCCTAAGAGTGTGCGGGGCCTATACAGCTGCTAACTGATAACCACGTCTTCTGTGTGACTTTGTCATATACAAAATTCCTACTGTCAGCCTACACTGCACGTGGAAGACAACAGTCAAGCAATGATTTAGTCACACTCCACAAGAAATACCTGAACCAGCCCAACAGAATGCTCACAGACAGAGCCGACAGGGAATAGTCTTTGAGTTGAGAACAATTTGGGTGCATCTAGTATCCAGAAAATGCAATCAGGTACTATCAGCAGTAATAATTTAATCCAAAGCCAGACATAGTCCATTAAACTGGTGACACAGTGTTTGACCTGCACAGTGAGAGTGCAAGCAAACTCTCAAATCAACACTGTCAGCTCCAATTAGTGTCAGAGAGTCAGCAGCTGATCATAAGGACGCATGTATGTGGTACTGCTGAACACGTTTCATCCTGTTAGCTGAACAATCAACTAGTGTGTGTGTGTGTGTGTGTGTCTGTGCGTGTGTCTGTGTGTGTGGTGTGTGTGTGGTGTGTGTGTGTGTGTGTGGTGTGTGTGTGGTGTGTGTGCTGTACAGATGAGGCTGTGTGTCCTTTAGTGCATCATACAAGTGCACAGCCGTTTGACTGTCATTTTAGAATTCATTTCCAAACTGCCTGCTTTGTGATCAATCTGAAGTCATGAAGTTCACTTTCATTCCCAGCAGCCAGCACTTCTCCCCCCTGACCCTGATCCAGAGCCTCTTACCCGGACAGCTTCATGAGCTGCTCCTGCTCGCTCTGCTGCGGGACTGCAGCCCCCTGGTTCCCCATCCTGCGGGTCCGGACCTGGCCGCCGAAGTTGGCGCTGAGCTCCACGTTGTATGTGTGCGGCTGCCCCGCCGGGCCGCGCCGCGTCGAGATGGAGCTGACTCGCACTGCGCCGTCCGCGGCGGCCGCCCCCGGCCCCGGCCCCGGCCCGGGCTGCAGCACGTACAGCCTCCTGAAGCCGCTCTGACTCTGCTGCCGCTCCGCTGACACTAAACCCGGAGAGAGAACCAGACCGAGGGAAAGCAAGAGGCCGCATGTAATCCAAGCCATGTCCACACCGAAGAGAAAGTAAAGAAAAAGTTTGCTGGAGTTGGAAGAAGGTCCAAGTTCTGAAAAAACTCCTCTGAGTCGCTCTGCGTTAGAAAACTGGTGTGTTCCTGAACATAGTCCTGTAGCAGCCTCCAGCCCGGTGTGCCAGAGCACCAAACAAGCTAACACTGGCCCTCAAAGTCCTGGTGAAGGTTTAAATCAAACAGGGCATGTAATGTAGGAATGTCGCTGTGCTCTAGAAGCTGGTCGGCCCGCTGTCTGTCTGTCTGTCCGTCCGTCCGTCTGCGGCGCTGAGCTGCTCCGGCTGCTGCGCTCTGACTGGCTCTCAGTCAGCAGCCTGAACTCCAGGAAAGTTTCTCTGTTGGAGGTGAACAGCAGCTCTGCCTCCAGACGTGACGTCAGGAGGGGGAGCTACTCCAGCCCCGACAACGTTTGCTTCTTGGGGCCCAAGGGTGTCAGGGGACCCGCACTGAAGCACACACAGGCCCGCTGCCCGAGCCTCCTCAGCACACACACATTCTCCAGGCGGGCCTCTGTAAGGTGATACTGACTTCCACTTTAAATGAGTCAACTGTGGAACATAGAAGCAGACTGGCTTTATTCCACAAATATCACAGCAGAAGGAGTCCTCCTCAGCAGGTGGCAGCCATGGAGGCCCAGTAGTAAATATTTTTATTGTTTTTGTTCTATACTGAGTCATGTTAACGTCGTCATGGTAACACTGGTCTTTTCTCTTTATAATGTTTTGTCTGCAGTAATAGAATGTGGGTCCATTATCAATAATACAATGCCGGTACATACCCTTATGTAAAGTCCTCCAGCCATTTGTGTCCATATGTAAATTCTTCATGTCATATGTCTACATATAATCCATCCATTATCTATACACCGCTTAATCCTCACAAGGGTCACAGGGGGCTGGAGTCCCAGCCGACTTAAGGTGAAGGCAGGGGACACCCTGGACAGGTCACCAGTCTATCACAGGGCCACACTTAGAGACAGACAACCAAACACACTCACATTCACACCTACAGACAATTTAGAATCACCAATTAACCTCAACATGTCTTTGGACTGTGTGGGAGGAAGCTGGAGAACCCAGAGAGAACCCACGCTGCACGGGGAGAACATGCAAATTCCACCTCTACATAATCATAGGTAAATTCATCATGCCTTGTCCATCGTGTTTATTACTTCATTGCACTTTTGTAATTCCTGTCCTGCTTCTGCCATTCATCATCTGTATCCAGCTGCTGCAACATGGAAATGTCCCTGGTGAGGGATCATATCACTTATCTTATCTTATCTGTATGTTAAAACCCTGAGGCTACAACCTTAGACTATGTTCGGGGCAGTTCCATCAGCACAGTACTAAGCAGCAGTCTAATGTGTCTGCAGTTGAGGATCCTGCAGTTTCCGGATTGCAGGAGAAAACTGCATTTCTAGGATCCTTGTCATTCGTGATCGAAATTGGATAACTAAGGAAGTACCTCAACCTTATGACCCCTGACCACCTCTAATATAACTAGAAATGATGTCTGACAAATGCAGTCCCTGAACTATGGATTCTCTGCTGCACACACACTGTTTTGACCTTTCAGTGCCAAAAACTGCAGTTCCCCAAAGGGCCACTTGAGGCTGGCTCCAAAAGTCAGTCCATCCCCACAGACCCCCAAAGTTAAAACGAACAACTTTAACAGCAGAAATAAACTTGTTTACAGCCTGCTGCAAAAAGTAGTTTTAACCTCTATGGCTAATTTTTCCATTTACCGAGGTAAATTTTGAAATAACATACCTGTTTAAATATCATTAAGGCAGAAAGTTATGCAAAATTAAGGGTGTGGTCGCTTACAGTGACAGGTGGGTGCTGATATAGGAACAGTCCATGGCTCAGAGATGTCTGCATGGCCCGCCTCAGCTCCACCTCTTTGCTCATTTTTGGATTAGCTGGGAGATAGTGGGAGTCAGGGTCTGCCAGAAAGGCAACAGTCAGCTTCAGAACCACTCATCAGTAAACCTATGGTTTTGGTGACAGAGGGTTTGTCTGTCGATGCCATTTGCAAACAATAATATGAATCATTCATCAAAAAATCAAAAAAATTCAATTCAATTCAGTTTTGTTTGTATAGCACAGTTTACAACATATGTCATCACATAACGCTGAACATAGTAAGGTATAGACCTTACAAATTTAATAAAAACAATAATGATCATAACAACAATAAACAAAATCAAAAGATAAAGGTTCCAAACCCAAAAAATTGGGACCCAAACGATAACATCTGAAGCACAAGCCGTGATAACATCATCTGTGGGAGAGTCTTATTTGACAGGGAAAAATCATGGACTCAGTAAGGGTTTTGCAAAAGGTTCTTGTCTGCAAACATGAAGGCTGTTGTATTGCATTTCTTTAAACCAATCACAATCATCTTGGGTGGGCCTAAGAACGGGATGCACTGAAAGTGTTCCTCAAAATAGTGACAGGGAATTGTTTTGGTGAAACATTTGTATGTAGGGAGGCGAGCACTGTCATTAAATGGATATTTCACAGTAGCAGGGCTGCCTTACTGCACGAGCCAAATCCTCTGCAAAGCTTGAAATTTCCAGCAGGGAAGGTTTCTGCCTGGAGGTTGTCGCTGCTGTTTATTGTAGTTAAAGATAACACTTAGATAGCAAGGACAAAACAGTGTGAAATACACAGCCAACGGCAGGTTTATACTCACAGTTTACATCTGGTAAGTGAAGCTAGGCTTTTCCTGATTAAGATTCATGGTTAAAAATTAAATACACAAACAAATAGACAATGCATAATGTGCTATAGTTCTAGTGCATGTTGGTTGAAATGTGAGCTGGCTTGCATAGCAGCCTGGGTTTGAAACCACAAAGCATACATTTCCTCGTGAAAAATCAGGAATTAGGTGAACGCCGCATGGGGTCACACTTAGGCTGACTTTAGGACTCTGAACAATCACAGCCCTCCTTCACTTAAATGTCATTAATCACAGTGGGGATGCCAACGTAGGCTCTGCATTGCAGGGTCATCAGGCAAAACAGCTTCACCTGACTCTACTTTGCAATGATAACTCCCAAATGTTGCCTGTTAAACTTTTATTGTGAATCAACTTTTCTGTGGAACAATCCCAGCTCTCTGCACTTGGCAGCATGTCTACAAAGAAAACGTTTCAGGCTCGTTTTTCAGTCGTCTGTCTCCTACGTCTCAGAGAACAGAAACACTCCACTTTACTGCTCTGCGTGTTATTAATCCAGCTGTCTGCACATGCAGCATAATACTTCTGATTTTCTCTCATGCACATAAATGTGACCTGAAGCATATCTTTACACATAATGTTTGTATTCCTGTGCTTTGTGTGCGTAACGATAGATCTCCATAAAGTAGGAGACCTACAGCTCAGTCCTTCATTCCATCCTGTGTAGACACACACTGATGCAGCATCAAAGCTGCTGTCCTGCTAACACTGTACCTTCATATTAATGAATTTAATATTTTAGTATGTGATGAAAACAAACCAATTATATGCAATAAATCTGTTATGAATTGTCAAATGTTACTGTGTTTTTGAGATGGAATGTGGTATAAATTTTAGAGGTGGGGAAATTGCATATTAAATTTAAATCTTGTTGAATCCCTTTTAATCCTGGGGTCTTCAGTGGGCATATATTTCTACTGTATTCTTAACAAGTTTGTTATTGTTATTATTTCTAATAATTATGCTAATTTTGCATTACTCATATTGCAGTGGGGTTTTTTTTCTTCTCCACTACATGTAGAATTTTTTTCGATTTGATCTCATGGTGGTGCTGTTGTCTCAGTGTTTAGATGAATAATACAGACACAGTGATGAAGAAGCTTGTTTTATCGGCTTGTTTATTGTCACAGTAGCATGCTTAGGAATGTGCGCAAATGTAAGCACAACTCTGACCATGCTTACGCACATAAATAGCGGTAGAATAGTGAAACTACAAATAGAAAGCATTCAGGGATTTTGACCACATTCCAGCGTGAGGTTGGAGACATATGCAGCATGTCCCAGCCACCACTGAGCAGGATCATGCCAGCAGTGTTGGATGCCATAACTCCCCTGACCCCAGCCTACATCGGGTTCCCTTACAGCCATCACCAACGAGCCCAAATCAAACAGGGACTTCACGCTATTGCTGGATTCCCAAACATAAGTGGAGCCATAGACAGCACCCACATCACAATCAAAGCAGCATCACTAAACAAATTTAATTATGTCAATAGAAAAGGGTTTCATTCAATCAACGTTCAGCTAATTTGCGATGCACATTTGTTGCTATTAAATGTTGTTGCCCGGTGGCCTGGAGGAACGCACGACTCATTTATTGTGCGTCTCCAAGCGGGAGCTGTTGAAGATGGCTGGCTTATTGGTGAGTGTTACAGAGTGTGGAAATGTTTTAGCTGGACTTAGTGTGGTTATGAAAACATCTCATCTGTAGTGATCAGGGTGATCCACTGGGTGAATGTTGGGTAGTAATTTGTCCTCCTCCAGCTGCATCATTTCTCTTTTATGGTCTGTCACATATTTTTTGACACTGAACTTAACGTCAAACCACTTTTTTCTTCTTTTTTTTTTTTTGCTTGTGATCTCTCCTCTGACCCAACAGAAATACCTGCGGTGTTACTGTATATGTTGTTTAATGACCAGTTGAGACTAACGTCTCTTTAGGAGGTTTAATGTAATATCACTCCGTGAATACAGACATGTGATTCTCAGGCTCACTTTTACAACTTCCTGTCTCGTTGCACATACTCACCTCTGAACCAGCAATTATCTGGCCTCATATCACTGTGCAGCATTAACTAGTCGCTGTTATACTTATGTAGCCCTGTGATAGACTGGTGACCTGACTCAGGGTGTCCCCTGCCTTCACCCTGAGTCAGCTGGGATAGGCCGGGAGAAGCCAGATGATCTCACAGAAACCTTACTGTCCTGGAAAACGTTGACCTCCAGCTGCTGTGGCCACAGCTGCAGAAAAGAAAAAAAGATACACTGACTTGTTAAAACTGACTGAGGATCTTAAAGTCTTTAATTTTTCTGCAAGGGGCTTTAGAGTGGACTGCAAGGTGGCTCAGTGGTTAACACCATCGCCTCGCAGCTAGAAGGCCCCTGGTCCCTGGACACCGGGATCTTTCTCCGTGGAGTTTGCATGTTCTCCCTGTGCAGAGTGGGTTCTCTCCAGGTTCTCCAGCTTCCTCCCACAGTCCAAAAAACATGTTGAGGTTAACTGATGATTCCAAATTGTCCGTAGGTGTGAATGTGA